AGACATCACCCCCGGCCCTATCACAGCATCAGAGATAGCCAAACACTCAGCCAAAGATAAAACTCTGGCGCGTATTTTAAACTGGGTTTTGAGGGGATGGCCAGAAGAAGCGCTGGAAGGTGACTTTAAACCGTTTAAAATTTGGCCAAATGAACTGTCTGTCATTAAAGGGTGTTTGTTGTGGGGAGATAAAGTTGTGACACCTGAGAAGCTGAGAGAACAAGTCTTAAGAATGTTGCATGAGGGCCACCCAGGGATAGTAAGAATGAAAGCACTAGCCAGAAGTTATACCTGGTGGCTGGGAATGGATAAGGAAATTGAAAAATGGGTTGCAATTTGTATGCCTTGTCAGGAATCTAGACCCGCACCCCCTTCAGCGCCCACCCTAGAATGGGAATCACCAACAGCACCTTGGTCTAGAATACATATAGACCTGGTAGGGCCAATGCAGGGGCAAACATTTCTAATATCTGTTGATGCATATTCAAAGTGGCTAGAAGTAATGATCATGAAAACCGCTACAGCAGATGCTGTGATTAAGGTATTGAGGAAATTGTTTGCCACACATGGGTTACCGGATGTTGTGGTACCAGATAACGGGCCCCAATTCACAGCAAACAATTTTGAATGTTTCCTAGCTGAACAGGGAATTTGCCATGCATTATCAGCACCTGGACACGCCCAGATTAATGGGCAGGCAGAGAGAGCCGTAAGATCCACGAAGGAAACCTTAGCTAACATGGGACCAGGGGATTGGCAAATGAAAATAGACAAATTCTTAACGATACAACATATCACACCTTCGGCCGCCACACACAGAAGTCCAGCAGAACTTTAAATGGGGCGGAAGTTAAGCTCAGAGCTGGATAGATTACACCCACACTACAATCCAATCACACCCACAGATCTGACAAGTAAATGCAGAAACTCTGTACTATTATTTTTAATTGTTCCGTTATTTATCATATATTAATATTTTACACTGCCCCAACACCTAGAGTGATTTTACTGTCTTTCTTTTGCCCAGGTATTTTTCAGGGTTTACAATACATGCTTTCAATGTCTATAGTCAGAGCATAAATACATGTGTGTTTAACAGAGTTTAAAGGGACTTTGGAGGTCTTCTAGTCCAACCCCCTGCTCAGGCGGGAAAACTGAGGATGCCAAACTCTGACTAGAGGTCCTGGGAAAGGTGTCAGAATAACAATAACACTTAGAAAACACCTTGGGGGGGAATCCTATAGCATTTCAGTCTTTTCTTAAAAACTTCCAGTGATTGAGCACCCAGAACTTCTGATGGCAAGCAGTTCCACTGGTTAATTGTTCTCACTGTCAGGAAGTTTCTCCTTAGTTTTAGGTTGCTTCTCCGTTTGTTCAGTTTCCATCCATCGCTTCTTATTTGCCTTCTGGTGCTTTGGAAAATACATTTCCCCCAGTGGTGGGATTCAAAAAATTTTTTACTACCAGCTCTGTGGGCATGGCTCGGTGGGCATGGCAGGGGAAGGATACTGTAAAGTCTCCATTCCCACCCCATTCCAGGGGAAGGATACTGTAAAATCCCCATTCCTTCCCCACCCCACTAACCTGATTTCCAGCTCCGTTCTCCTGTGCAGGCAACAAAAGAAGACCCAGCTGATCAGCTGGGACTCAAGAGGCAGAAAATAGATAGGAGTGGGGCCAGTCAGAGGTGGTTCTCTGAACTACTCAAAATTTCCGCTACTGGTTCTCCAGAACCGGTCAGAACCTGCTGAATACCACCTCTGATTGCCAACCCCCTTCTTTCTGGCAGCCCCTTAAAAGCCTGTTGCCTACCACACTCTTGGGCACTATAGATACATTGAGGCTGGGTGTGACAAGGAATGGCTGGGAGGGGAGGGGCCAGGCAAGGCACCTTTTGACATGACTGACATCGAGTCGGCCACAACCACACAGTCACATGACCAAGCCATGCCCACAGTCACATGACCACCAAGCATGCCCACCCAGTCACATGACCACAAAGCCACCCCTACCCAGTCACATGACCACAAAGCCACACCCACCAAATAAGCCACGCCCACAGAACTGGTAGTAAAAAAAAATTGAATCCTACCACTGATACATATCCTTTAATTAAAAAAAAAACCATTTGTTTTAGAACTCAATTGTGTTGGTTCACATTACAGTGGATCTGCTTCTTCCACAATGCTAAGAGATTGAGGGAAATCAAAGCAGACTTTTTCTCTCTCTCTCTAATCTAAAGTAAATACTGTTAAACTGACTTCTCTCTAAAAAAAGATACAGGTTTGCATTCGTAACCTATATGATGTTGAAGCTCTGAATAAAAGTCGTAAGAACGAAGTAAAATCATAATGTTGCTGCTTCTGTAATTCTCTACACTGAGTCACCTTTTCCTCTTCATAAGGTTATACTAACTGAAAGAACAAATTGTTTCTGTTGCAGGAATGTCATTTCTTTAAGATGCTTAAACACATGACAGCTGACATATGCTATGCCAGTTTGCTCCGAATGTCTTGAACAGAGAAAGAGAAGAGAAAGTCGTCCCAGAGGAGATTAGTAAGAGGTCAATAATGGATTTGAATACTGAAATGTAGCTTCTATCATTAAATCAGCAATGTACTTCTAGTATGTACCTAATAGTGTACCCAATGCTCCTATCAATTCTGCAGCTATTTCAAATCACTCTTTGTAATGCATAAGGTTGCTTCTACATTGCTAGAATAACAGATCAGACTTCTCTTAAAGACTTGCTTTATTCAAAACATCACAAATAACATAAAAATGTACACAATATTTTCTGATAAAGATGCCCTCTATTCAAAGATTCCAACCCAAATGGATTGTTGTCTATCTACTGGCTGCTCTTTCATGCTCTATAAATCATGTCTGCTTATGCTACAGTTTCTGACAATTATTGAAAGAGCTGCTAGAAATAGCTTACCTGCCAGTTAGTAAATAAAACAGAAGTTTCACACTGTAAATGAGACATACTGATGTTTCCAAACATCATAATATGGCACTGCTTAAACCATTGTCTCCAACTTATTTTAGACAATTCTATTAAGGAAATAAAGGAAATAAATCATTTAAAAATATTTATTAATAAGATATATGCTATTTTTCATCAATCCAATGAGAACCAAATTGCATTTAAATATCCGAACTTGAAATTGAAATTATAAAGGTTGGTAGAATTTTTGGACCAAGATGGGCTGCCTGTAGTTTAAAGTCAACTGTAAATGCTACCACACTGTTTTCATTCAAATAAAAAATACTTAGGTGTGGCTGCCCATCTTGAAAATATATATTTTATGACTGATTTGGCTTTGATGATTGATGTTCTAAATGAAATATCTCTTCTTTCTAATGCACCGCAAGCAAGAAATGTAGACATCATAAAGGGCAATGTCAAGTTGGCCACGCCCACCCAGGCACATGACCACCTAGCCACGCCTACCCAGTCTCATGACCACCAAGCCACGCCCACAGAGCCAGTTGTTAAAAAATTTGAATCCTACCACTGTAAATGAGAGGGATCTTGGAGTCTTCGTGGACAACCAATTAAATATGAGCCAACGGTATGTGGCGGCAGCCAAAAAAGCCAATGCAATCCTAAATTGCATTAACAAAGGGATACAATCAAGATCTAGTAAGGTACTAATAATACCACTCTATAAAATTTTAGTAAGACCACACCTAGAGTACTGCATCCAGTTTTGGTCACCACACCATAAAAAAAAAATGTTGAGACTCTAGAAAAAGTGCAGAGAATTGCAACTAGGATGATTAGCGGACTGGAGACTAACAGTTACAGGAACTGGACATGGCTAGTGTAGTGAAGAGAGGACCAGAGGAGACATGACAGCAGTGTTCCAATATTTGAGGGGCTGCCACAGAGAGGAGGAAGGGGTCAAGCTATTTTCCAAAGCACCTGACAAGGAATAATGGATGGAATCTGAATGAGAGATCCAACCTGGAAATAAAAGAGAAATTTTCTGACGGTAAGAGCAGTTGACGAATGGAACAACTTGCCCGCAGAAGTTGTGGGAGCTTCCTCACTGAAAGCTTTCAAGATGATATTGGACCGCCATCTGTAAGAAATGGTGTAGGTTCTCCTGCTTGGGTGGTGGTGGTGGTGGTGGGGTTGGACCAGATGACCTACAAGGTCCCTTCCAACTTAATCTGTTTGATGCTCTCAAGACCTGGTCAGCACAGTTTCCAAATCTCCCCATCAGCGCTCTTAAAAGGGAATCTGTTTTTTATATATAAAAAGTTTTTTATTTTAACAACAAACAAAACCACATAAAACATACAACACAAAACATAAAAACATCATCCTTCTTCATAAATTTACAAACAACGTATCCGTTGGTTTACCACTTTTTTTGTGTGTGCATCCGTTTCCTAAACGCTAATATAGTTATATTACATAATAACTCATATTATCAATCAACAACTGCATAACCCAGTATCCTTACTGAGAAATCATTTAGCTAGAATTTGATTCGTTCATACTTTAACGAGATAGCTATAATTTCCTTAATTGATTTTGCAACAAGGGAATCTTGAAAGGGGGCGAGGACCAAACTGGTGCATCCCTGGGTTTCTCCCTTGCATCGTGCAAGCAATTCGGTGGCGGGTCTCCAAGTTCGGTTCGGAAAACCTGAGGGGGGAAAAAAAAGAAAGAAAGAAGCAAAGAACTCTCCGACCAAAGGAACCCAAAAGTCCCGGTATGTACGTGGGCTACTTTCTACCCTCGCTTCAGCCCAGAGCTTAACTGAAAAGCTACTCCGGCGGCCGCGCAGCACCGGAACGCGTAAAAACGGAGCTCCGAAATCAAAAGCGAAGCGACTCGGACTGAGGAGGGAAGCGAGGTCAAGGATTTCTGCCTCAGGGTCGCCCTAGCTCCGGCTCCAGGGCCGCGGGGGCGGCCTGGCCTTAGTTCTTCCGCTACCATGGCAATAGTAACCCCTCAGTAAGGGACAGGATGAAGGCCGCGCATGGCGGCCCCGCAGAGCGTCACCTCGCGCCGCCTGGTCGGCTCGGACCAGAAGGACGCGCGGCTGCCCCCTTCCCTGACCAGCAGCCATAGCGGGCAGAGCTCCTTCGGTAGCTCCCCGTCGCCCGCCAGAGAAGTCAATGCCACCATCCCGCCCACGTTCATGACCGCGGTCGGCCAGATTCAAGCTCGGTCGCAGTCGCTCTTGCGAGCCGCTATAGCCAGCGAGCGAGCTAAGCTCTGGCCTAAGGTAAACGGGAAGCCGCCCCATCGGGGCTCCCGGAAACGGCCCCGGCCGACGAGTAAAGGTTTCTTGGATTCGCGCCCTGGACGTTAATTTGCACTCTGGTTGCAATGGCGACGGGGCTTGGATGCCTGCAGAGCTGCCTTGGTTACCAATTCCCAAACCGCAGACACTAGCCTGGCCTTGGGCAGGGCGTTTTTGGAAAGTGAACGATTCAAAACAAGTTTTGGGTTTTTTTTGGAAAACTGCTTCTTGCCCAAAGTCACTTCAAACGAGCGAATTAAGCGAGGCGTCTGGCTTTGACTTCAAAAAGGAAAAGCTTTTTGGGTTTTTGTGTGTGTGTGTTTATTTTCTCCACTCTCCAGAGCAGAAGTTTCTATGCTTGTGCTTTCAATGGTTTTGTGACTTTTAGAGTTCAAAGATTGTTTCCTTTATTTTTCTTATATGTACCCATTTCATGTATTCATAACTATGTATGCACTTATACTTATTATCTTGTAAAGATGAAGTTTCGTTTTCCTTAGATGTCACCTATCTCCTGGTGATGTGGACCTGTGCACCCTACAGAGAGAGATAAAGCCTTGAGGAAGAGTAGAAGTGGAAACCCTGATTTCATGCAGTTAGCCAGTCTGTTTTGGTGTGGGGGTTTCTTTTTCTGTTTGCCCAGATAAATTAGCCAGGACTGGCTTGAAACGCTACTATGCAAATACATGGAATTTTGAGTTAGCTTTTATTTCATAATTCTTCCCTTTGTGTCATTGACATTGGCATTTAGTTTCTGCCTCTTTGGGTTTTTTTTTTTCTTAAATCAACTATTGATTGTATAGCGAATATTTGGCTATATTCTGCTTACATGCTAAATTAAAGTCTCTATTGGGTTTATATGATATGCTATGCAAAAACATATTATGACTTCACATCCTATGGCTTGATACACACAGCATTCCAAGAGTGGTGGACTTGGTTCTACGATTAGCAAATTATAAGGTTTATGAGATCACAGAAAACATGTATTTTTGCAGAAAGCGAGAGAGGGGCAGAGACTGATTTGTCTGCTGTTTTGTTTTTCTTGGGTTGTAGTAAAAAAAAAATCTACTTGTCAGATTGTGAAGGACTGTAGACTTGGGAATGGAAGAGGGGACTGTGTGAACTGTTAAGAGGCGACTTTTACTTAGTCCCAAAGAGTGAGAAAGAAAATCAGAATAGCCCTGTTTGATCTACCATGGGATAGAGAGAAACTTGGCAGGCTTTTAAGTTTGTTGCTGGCCCTCTGAGGTAGCCCTTACAGCAATTCCAGGTATGCTTTTTTAAAATTGCAGGATAGAATAACAAAATCTTGACCAACTAACGGTTCCAGTTTGTATTTATGCCTTACCTTACACCGAACAGAATCAAGTTGAACTTAGTTTGAGTTTCTTTCTCACACTTTCCTCTTTCTGAGGATTGAGTAATCTTTTCTGAATCCCTGCTTTTAATAGTTCATTTATTCCTTACCTGTTCCCAAGGCCCAGGACTACATTCCTTCGCACATACAGAGATTCTTAAATTTGGTCTCAGTTCTCATATTTCTTTAAAAAATTGTTTTCAGGCAATAGAATATTATAGAAGACTGCTAAGCTGCTTGAGTCAAAGGAATTTTCCTGTACAATACGTTCCTGGTCCTACCTGTAAATTGCTGGTAATCTAAATCTGAAAAATTTATGTATAGAATATTAACTTGAAATCCTTGCTGATTTAGTTCTGAAGTGTGGGTGGAAGCAGTCTACCTTTAGACACTAAATTTAGACACTAAACTTAGACTCAATACAAGCTCACTATTTTTTCTTTTAACTCCTTGTACAGGTAATCCTCAACTTACAACAGTTCATTTAGTTACAACAGGGTTGAAAAAAGTTACTTATGATTGTTGCAGCATCCCAATGGTCATGTGATCAAAATTCAGATGCTTGGGAACTAACTCATATTTATGATTATTGCAGTGTTCTGGGGTCACATCAGGGGTACGATTCAAATTTTTTAACAACCAGTTCTGTGGGCATGGCTTAGGTGGTGGGCATGGCTTGGTGGTCATGTGATTGGGTGGGCATGGCTTGGTGGTCATGTGATTGGGTGGGTGTGGCCAACTCAATATCACTCACATCAAGGCACGCATCTCCTCGCCTGGCCTCTCATGACTGTGGGGATGTTGCAACAGTTGTAAGTGTGAAAAATGGTGATAACTTCACTTTTTTCAGTGCCATTATAACTTTGAATGGTTACTCCACACAAGCAAAGTACCAGCAAAGGAGGGGGAAAAAAAACTCCAGAGAAGTTCCTGAGATAGGAAGTCTAGTCTTGCCAAGAATGTAATAAGGGTTAATGGAGAGACAGTTTCTGTAAGCAACACCAGAATGTTTCCTTCCTGCCTTCCTTACAGGATTAGGTCAGTAATTTCTTCTAACAACCGGTTCTCCGAATTGCTTAGAATGTTAACAACCGGTTCTAGCGAATAGGTGTGAACCTGTAGAATCCAATCCTTGGGTCACATGATCACCTTCTGTGACCTTCTGACAGTGGGGAAGCCTTCTGACAATGGGGAACTCAATGGGGAAGCCATGTTCACTTAACAACTTCAGTGATTCATTTAAAAATTGTGGTAAGAAAAGTCATAAAATGAGGCAAAAATCACTTAACAAATGTTTCACTTAACAGAAATGTTGGGCTCAATTGTGGTTGTATCTCAAGGACTACCTGTATTTGGCTTCCTTGTGCAAATATTTTCTCTCTCTTTCATAAAGTAGATTAGACACGCAGTATAGGAAATTACATTCTAACTCATTTGTTACATTATATGTGACTGCCTCCAACAAACTTTTATTTATCTTTTGATACTGTATAGTCTGTAACAAGGACTACATTTCAGAGTGGAAGAAGTGGTGGTATTTAAGGTGCAACAAAATTCTGTCAAGTTTTATTCCAACAGACAAATTTAATTTTCCATAATTTCAAATGGAGTTTCATTCACAAAATGTACACTGTAATGTACCTGTTAATTCTTAAACCACTTCACCATGGATATTTTAAATGCTTTTTAAATCCCTGCATACAATGCTATTTTGTTCTATTGCTTTAAATTCTCATTGAAAGGGATTTTACCTCAGTTCCATTCGTATATTAGTCAAAGGATGGATTGTTCTCTTGGTCTCATTCCTGGCTGATTAGGCAATCCATTTATAATCTGGCCTATTACCTAGACACTTATAAATCAGTGTAGTTGTCAAAAGAGCTTCCTTGCACAACTGCTGAACATGTGGTATGAGGGAGTTCGTATATTTCATATGTTTATCAGGAGGTCTGTCTTTCTAGAAGAAGATCAGAATGTAACATGGAAAATTATTAATCCTAACCAAATGCAATGGAGTTATAAGCAAGTTTTGGAGCTTTCTAAATTGTTTGTTGCAAAGGATGGTAAAGAAAATCAGATGAGTAAAAACCTATTAGCATAGAATGTGTGCTAACAATACTGTTACGAGAGTAAGGAAGTTAAGTAGATAAAATTCGATTTCCCTCATAAATTGCAAAATTGAAGCACCCAAGGTTACTGGATCAAAATACAGTACCCTGTTCAGTACCCTGTTCCTTGAGAATACTATATTTGGTTCATTATTTTTCTTTTAAAATGCAATTAGAATCCATATTATTCAATATTAGTATATTGATTCTAGTGTTCACTGTATTATAGGACGTGTGGAAATTTCATCATTAATAGTGGATGGTAATCACAACTTTAATATTTGAAATTTAGAACCTGTTAAGATAACGTTAGAAAGAGTTATTAAGTAATTTGATATCCTAATTCTTTCATTTCAGGTGTTTGAAACATACTATCATACAGGTGTAGCTTTCCAAAGTTTGAATAACCATCAAGAAGCTTTGGAAGAGTTTTCTTTTGCATTAGAAACGGCACATATTCCCAAGGTATGGAATTAAAAATTATGCCATGTGCACAGTACGTTAAAATACAATTTTGTCAAATGGAGAAATAGTCACGTTGCATTCATGATTTGTAATGGTAAATTAAATGCCTATATTTTGGAAACTGTTGAATCAAAGGACCATGCAATTAGAAATATGCTTTTCATAAATTTGAATGTATTATTTTACATTGATCTTCAAATGGTTGACATAAAGGGGTAAGGTTAATGCAACAAATACTGCATGGGTAAAGAATATCTATCAAAATGAATTTTTCCTTCTAAATATGGGCTATATCAGGGATTTTAACAATATTTCTAGAGGGATTCCTTTTAGAAAATGCTGATCTAAATAGATAGTTCAGGAATGATAACCTCTAAGAGATCTTTTAAATTAGTCTCTTCTAGCATTATGAGTCAAAACTTACTATAGAATTGTTTTATTTTTATTCTTTTGTTAGGCAGATTAAAACAAAAGAGGCACTGAGAAATCATCAATCACTTACAAATAGAAAGAATGTATATACATATACACCTGTTTGTTTTCTGAATGAGATATGCTAAATAAAAACATCATCAAAACTAATATAAAACATAACAAATGTAGCATGTTAATGAAAAATCCTCTCAAATGCCAGCTATTCATCCTGTATAGGCTGGAATAGCAAATTGAAAAGCTGGGTGTATATATATGAGAATATGTACAATATTATTATACTGTTGTTGTCTAATCTCTCTCGGGTTCTTATGTTTTTCAAAGTTGATATAATTATAGAAACATTACTCTTGAGTGATGATATGAATCATCCCCATAGGATTCTGAACAATTAAGGGAATAATCTGATAGAACCCTGCTGGTACAAATAAGTTCTATAATGGGAAATAAATAAAAGAAAAATGAGGCTAGTGCAGACAACTCAAAAATTCCATTAGCTTTACAATGACCATGTATATAATGGCGTAATAGTGTACTGGGTACTGAGAACTTCACTACATATTTCAGTTCATATGATGTTTTCTTTTTGCCAGAATGTCTGTCAAGTTGGTTGTGCTTCTGGGTCTTTCTACCAGGTACCTGTTCTAGCAAGGAGAGCTTATTCATATGTCAAATGTGGTATGTTTTAAAAAAGAGTTGTACTTCAACTCAATTCTTGTTTTTGTAGCAAGATAAACAGTAACATTAATCTATAGATTATAGTTGCATTGGCACTGTAGAAGAATAGGAATAGGAAATAACTGTGTTATGATTTTAAATCTTACACAGATCTGATTTGAAATTCAGTGAAAATCAACACAAAGAATGTGGACTGACATCCTCACTGGCAATTTCTGAGCATTTAAGTGAAGGCTTGAATATATCCTATATTTGAACAATATGTATACATTAGGCTCTGTTCAGACCATTGGATGGATATTGGATGTGGTGGGCAATACATTTCCTTTCTATCTAGTAAGAATATTTACGTTTTTCACAAGTGGCACAAGAATATAAAGCGGGTGGGTGGCCTGGTTCGGCTCTGAAAAATCATCTGAGAGCGAACCGGTTCGCTCCAACGATCAGCTGCTGGACCCACCTGCCCGCCTCAGTTCCATACTGACCTTTACTTCCTGCTTTTGATGGTCAGCTGCATCACGCAGCACAGTGGATTGCCGCGCGTCAGCTGTTGAAGACACAGGGAGAGTGCAGGAGAAGGTCAGTAGGAAAGCATTTGCACACGCGCAAAGCATGCATTTGCTGTGCACGCCCAAAGCACGCCCACCAAGTCAAGCCCACTGAACCAGTGGTAAAACAATTCAAATCCCACCACTGACATAAAGGCTATGTATGTGGAAAATCCCAAGCTGAAAAAGCTTTGCTTGAGTGCTATTGCCTGCCAGAATGGGACGAATATTCTAACAAAATGAAATTCAGTGTAGAGAAAAGTAAGGTTTTACACTTAGGCAAGAAAAGCCTAACACAAAGGTTAGGTACAGATGTTCAGGTACAGATTTGGTGAAACCTTGGCTCAGTAACTGTGATAGGGACCTTGGAATCCTAGTGGACAATCACTTAAATATGAGCCAGTAATGTGCAGCAGCAACCAAAAAAGCCAATGCAATCCTAGACTGCACTAATGGAAGGATAAATTCAAGATCATGTGAAGTACTAGGACCATTTTATAAAGCTGTAGTAAGACCTACATTAGAATACTGTAACCAGTTTTGGTCACCATGTTATTAAAAAAAAAGATGTTGAGATACTCAAAATTTCGAGTGAAGAAAAAAGAAATAGATGATTAGAGGGCTGGAGGCTAAAACATATGAAGAATGGTTGCAGGAATTGAGTATGTCTAGTCAAGTGAAAAACAGGATTATTGTTGACATGATAGCAGTGTTTCAAATTTTTGAGGGCTGCCACCAAGATGAGGTCAACCTATTCCAAAGCACCAGAAGGCAAGGAAAGAAACAATGGATGGAAACTAATCAAGGAGAGAAAAAACCTAGAACTAAGGAGAAATTTCTTAACAGTGAAAACAATTAACTGGAGGCTTTTAAGAAGAGACTGGACAGTCACTTGTCTGGAATGATATAGGATTTATGGTAGAAGGTCTCCAAAATCCCTTCCAATTTTATTATTCTGTTACAAGCCAATTAACTATAGGAAGAAAGTCTATTTTTCATTCAGAACAACTATTGGACAAAAACACATTTGTGTATAACTGAAGATGGGATATAGCCAGTGTGCACACATGTTGAGGACTCAAAATAATATAAAGCCTGAATGGGTTATATGACACTTTTGGATTGATTTGCAATCAGATTTGTGTATATAGGATTCGGACTTAAAGTGCAATGTAACTATTTTTTATTTTGGTCTAGCCTGTTTCTATAAAAAAAAATTATTTTGAAATGTGATAATTTGTTTTCAAATATAACGGCATTCAAATCCTTTGTGGTCCTTTTGGTTTACTTTGTTTTTACCCTTTCTATGTATATTTTTTTATATTCCACTGCTAGGCAGTTTTAGAAGAAATTAACTGTTCACAGCTTACTCAAGATAATAACGAAATGCTGCATGGATGAGTTCCTTTGCCTCTGACTTGTTCTTTCCATTTCTCTCCTATATTGCAGTGACAGGAACTACAAGGTCCAGTTTTAGTCTGTATGATTCTTGACATTGCATATGAATTAGGCCTAGTAGCTGTTATTTGTATATTTGAGACCCAAAAGTTTAGGTCATTTTGGTGAAAATTGTAAAGCCTCCTTTTTCTACCACTAAAGCTTGTTTGATGTTATGATGAGTGAGCCACTATGTGTGTCTTTCTTTACTGTTTCTATTTCCAGGCAAGATTAAAGAAGCTATACGTGATTCCACAAGAGCTGTTAATTTAGATTCTTCAAATCCTGTGAGTAATAATGAAGAAATTTGTGTATTCTAGCTATATGTTTATTGTTTTCCTGCAGTGATTGAAGGTCTTCTCAAATCGGTTGTTCCTCTCACTCACTGTGAATAGATAGGATTTATACAAAATTATGAAGAAATGTTTAGTAAAGAAAAAAGATTTATACAATTTTATTTCTGTGGCAATTTTTAGATCTTCTATTCTCATAGAGCCAAGGAAGGTTAAGGTACCTGTTGAATAAACTAAAAAATGAAAACTTCTTATATAACTCCTCTCTAAAGAAACAAAAGAAATAGTAAACTAAACTTGGAGCTATGCATTTACAAAAAAAAATAGTGAAGCATTAGGATTGACAACAATTTGTTTCATTTGCTTAAATGAAAGGCATCTCAAAAATCATTGGTTCTCAAATTAGATGAGGTGCCATAGAATTAATTGCTCTATCTGCATTCAAGTAGTTGATGTATTAGATTAAAAGTGCAACTTATAATATATGGAAACTGTCCTCACGTCATTAGATTTCAATATCCAGTGATATCTGCAGCAGGAGGTGAGGTCAAAGGAAGCAAGATGGAATTATGCCATAACATTTGAGAAGCAGTCTCACCCCAGTGGGATTAGCCCACCCCACTTGCACCAATGGAAGGGGCTTACTGAGGATCTGCTAAGGAATTTCAGTTGGTTTATTAAATCTCCTTCTGAGATTAAAATTTTTGCTGTTTTGGTCTGTGCTTTCATGCAAACACACATAATAGTGTTCAAGAAATAAAACAATACTTCCTAATTTTTTACCCTGCTGATGGTGAGTTATTTGACAATGGGTGCAATATAGTGGCTTGAGAGCTATCAACTGGGACAAATTAAATTCCACGGCTAGCTGGGGATTTAACTCTGATCTTTCTTGTCCTACTTCAACTAGTATTCCTGTTAAAATACTGAGGTCATAGGATATTTTTAATTTGAGATGAAATTATGTTTTCCATTTTCTAGGATGTATACTGTATCAGAGCTCTTGTATGGAGCTCAGCAAAAGAAAAAAGAAGAGCTTTGGTTGATTTGAATGCTAGTTTCAAACTGGATTCATCTCATATTTGTACTTTGATATTAAGGGGAGCTATTTTAAGCTCTTTGGGTAGCCTGCCTTCAGAGAAAAATAAAGATCATGAAAAGGTAATCCTGTTCTCTTAGAACAGGGGTCGCCAACCTTTTGGACCTCAGGGACCACCAAACTCATAATTTTAAATCCTGTGGACCAGAGACCCTGGGAAAATCCCCAAAAAAGTCTGCAAGAAAATTCCCCATGCCGTTTTTTTCCTACTGATTGATCATTCTTTATTTGGGATCGCAGGATACCATTTCCAGCTCCATTCTTGGAGTGAGGGGGCGGGGGAGAGACCTTTTGGCTTCATGCAAGGAAAGCAGCAGAAGTCTTTCTTTCTCTCCCCCAAACTCCGCCAGAAATGAGTCTTTGTGAGATTTATCATGCCGGCGCAGCTTCTTGGAGCCGGATGCCTTGCAAGGTCCCAAAGACTCATTGGGGGAGAGAAAGAAAGATTTTTGCTGCTTTCCTTGCATGCAGCCAAAAGCAGAAGAAGAAAGAAGTGGAAAGAAGCAACCCGCTGACCAGGCGAGGCGCATGGGGCAAATTCCCCCCCCCCCGCCCTTTCCCCCCTCCCCTCACTACCCCATGTTGTTTGCAATGCAAGTGACACAAGCCTTGTGTTCTCATGGGCCATGTGGGTGGCGCAGCCTTGTGTTCCCACACAGTCTGGATTAATTGCTTTGGGGTGTGTGCTTTGGGGTGACAATTGTCTGCAGACCACCAACATTTTCTCTCAGACCACCAGTGGTCCCTGGCCTATGGGTTGGCGACCACTGTCCTAGAACTTACATTTTAATATGTTTATTTCATAAAGGTTTGAGTGTTTTTTAAAACTGCAACTAAGAGAATAATCTTAATAGAAATACAGTATATACTGTTTTTGTTAGTACGAGGAATGGTTTATTCTCATATTTATGGACACAGCTACTGACAATGCTACAAACAATTATTTACATTCCATTTGCTCTTAATTCTAGTGAGGAAAATAATATTTCTTTTTAAAGAATTTTTAAACGAAAGTTTGTAATATAAAATACAAATGTAACAAAGATCAGAAAGGGAAAAGGAGTGTAATGGAAAAAGAAAGAAAAAGAAAGCATTGATCGCCAACTCTTTATGATGCAGTATAATACAAGATACAGTTACAGCCTCAACTTTTTGCTTTACCTATCTGGTACTGTAGATACAAGCCATTTCTTCAACAGCAAAGTTGATCTGGTCATCAAAATCTAAGATCAAAATTTCATTATTTTTTTTGTTTCAAGCATAAAGTCCAAAACTAGTTTCCAAGTGAAAACAAAACTGGGTAAGCTCTTCTCTTTAATTAAAACAGTCAGCGTTGTCATCTGCACCAACTTCATCACTTTTCCGTCCATTTCGCTGTGGAAATTGACATGTCTGTCTTTCCATTTTTATGCATACAGGATTCTCCTACTGTCAACATATATAATAACGAAGTTCCAAATATTCTTTCAAGCTCTTTGTCCAGCAGACCTTAAAAAGAAAACCTTCGGTTTCAGCTTTATAATTGCTTTTTGAAAAGAGATCTCTAAGTTTACCTAGAAAAACAGACTTGATATCTTATAAAATAAGGCGTATTAATGAAATAAAGCTTGGACCCCTCATGGAATATTAAAACATTTTGAACCTTTAACCAAGAATAATACGAAGAATGCCTATTAGGGCAGTGATGAAATAATGATAGCAGAAATCAGCAAAATGTCTGAGTTTTCTCCATAGTCAATCAGCTTTTCAGTAATGTTTTGTCATCTGAGGCAATTCGATTCATACACTGAACATTTCTAAGAATTAGTGTTGCGTTATAGAAATATAGGTACGTTTTCCCCGTCCAGTTGTATCTGACTCTCCGGGGTGGTGTTCATCTCCGTGTCTTAGCTGGGGAGCCAGTGTTGCCCAAAGATTCTTCTGTGATTATGTGGCTGTCATGACCATATCGGTGTGGGATTCAAATCATTTAACAATCGGTTCTCTGTCCTAATGACCAGCTGGGTAGGCATGGCTTGGTGTGGTGGGGGGTCATGGCCAACTCAATGTACTTGCATCAAGGGGGGGGCTCTCCTCTCCTCATCACACCCAGCCCCTCCCCTCCCAGCCACTCCTTGTCATGGCTGGCCTTGTCTCCCCTGGCCTCTCCTCGCCATGCCTGGTTCCATCTTGTCCCTACACACTCTGCCACTCCTTGGCACTCCTGCCTTGCCTTGTCTGACTCCCAGCCTGGCCGCTTGCCTGGCCTCTCCTCACCACACCCCCGGCTTCTCCTCTGCCTGGCCGAATGGTAAAGTGACCAACTTTTTTACAATGAGAAGGAGGACACAAATAAATTGAAGTAAAAAACCAACGCTACTTGCACGCGGTGCACTCTTGTGCACTTTTGTGCATGGCACACTCTCTCAAAACAATTCTCCTGTGTGGAGCACCTGCGTCTCATAATCACGTCTCGCCGCACTGTACCGAGCCTTGACGAATCGCCATGTCAAATCCAAATACGTCACATCACACACAACGGATCGGATCGGCATCGATCAAATACAGAGATTTACAGATTAGTCTTCAACTATCAAAAAGGACTGTCCTCCCTAAAGAAGGACGGTTGGTCATCTTATGAGTGGGCAGTCTGCTATTAATCAACCATGAAGCAAAAGGAATCATGATAAGTCTAACTTTGTGACCCTGGTCCACTGCCATTTTATCTGACTGCTTTACAAGCCTGGATTTATGTATCAGTTGGCACACATCTTACAAACTTATTTATCATTGACCTATTCTTCAACATATATGCATTTTTGTTTCAATGCAATGCCATCTGCTAACCATATCAACTTTACTTACACACTTGTTGCCAGATAAACTATTCTGTGCCCTATTTATTTTAACAGTGAAATTTTCTATTCCCCAAATTCTTTCAGCTATTGGGATTTTTTCTATTTTCTAGTTTTAAAACCAAAGAGAGTTGTACTTGCTTCAGGGTTTGCATATCACATGACCATGGAAGTGTTTTCAGACAAACTGGCTCCCTCAGCTAGGAAACAGATGAGTTTTAGAGTTGGACATGACTGGACAGGGGAAATCTTTACAAATCTTTGTCTCAGAATAATGTCGCAGGATCCAATGTGGGTCGGTCACTGGGGGTGGGGTGTCTTCCAAGCTTGAGTTCCTGAGTCCATCATCAAGGAACATCTCTTCATCTCTTTACCTTTAAAGATAAATCTTTATCTTTAATAAAAAGACAACATTTTACACTTCTAAAATCTAATACAGATTTTTAGATCCTGCCCGGTGGCCCCACCTAGCCAACTTTAACTGATCTTGCACAGTTAAACTGGATCAGACTTTGATAGCAATTTAAGGGGAAATCACCAGAAGTTATGAAGAGTGTTGACTAGATTAGGAAGTCAAAACCACACCCTGAAACAAACTAGTAACAGACAAGTTCTGAACTGTGGCCAAGAAAACTATGTGAATCAAGCTTCACTTCAATGAGAATTTCTCAAATCTTACATTTCAAATGTCTAATATTTTCCAAATACTACTGTAGTTATCCAGATATGAAATATGTATCTGTTTTTCATTAGGCCTTGGCTCTCTCTTGGGACAGTAAGGATTTCTGTGATGTGGAAGACTTTTATCATCCTAAAATGCTCTCTTTCTATGATAAGTGAGTATAATATAAGCTTCAGGAAAAATGTTATATGCATAGTGAATAGGGAGGCCTCCCCTTCGAAAAGTTTCACACATGAAAAGAGTTAAAGAAAAATCTTAATCTTACCTGCCAATCATCCCTAACCTTGTCAATCCAAATAGTTGGAGAAAGTCAGTGCCCAGGGAGATCAAATGCTAGTATCAGCAAGGAACAGGAATATTGTTTTCTTAATTGGTTTCCAAAAAGAAAAAAAATACAACTCCTGTTTTGTCTCTGGTGTTTTTCCTTTATGGGAAGAACAGTTGACTCACTCGGAATATAAGCAGAGCCCTGACTTGGCAGTAGGATTGAGACTCAGGAAAAATGCAATAATAAAGTAATTTAAGTCAGATATACATTAGTATGTATCTGTGGAGTTTGGTTTTGTGTATGTGGTTGGGTTGGTGGGTGCATTTCAGCCATGAGTGAGTGGAAGCAGTTCATTTTTCCTCTATCTCCTCTTGTTTTCTCAATTCCCCTTTACTTAATATACATACATAAGAAATTTTTTTTAATTCATATTGAATCTGTGACTCTCATTCTAAAACATAATTAATCTTAGCACGAGGAAATTATGATAAGATGAAATGAATGAGAAGAGATTACCACTTTGCTTGTTCCTGAGTAATTAAACACGATGGAGGGTTTCTGCAGAAAAGGTTGTTATAGGCAACATTGACTGAATAGTTGTCCTGGAAGTATGGAATGTGTAGTAGAGATAGTGAAGGATGGGCTTAAAGATATCCCCCCTCCCTTGAGGGAACTGGTGGAGTACTCAACTCATGTCTTGTGTGGGGGTGTTTGCAAGCTCCCTTTACATGTGCAGAATAATATCATCTACATGTGTCGCTTATTTGCAGGTGCAAACTTTTCTTTATCAGAACTGTATCTGTTTCAGATTGTGTGACCCTTTAAAGTCCTGATAGGGAAAAATGAGGAAAAACAGGGATGTAGCGAATTAATACGATGTATGTATTATAACTGCAAAAAGATAGTAAAGCTGTAGTAATTGTTTTACAGATTCTTGTGGTCTCTGAATGCTTTTCATACCATAACAGAAATCAACCTCTTTGATGGAGCTACATATGCAGCCAATTGTAAGAATGAGTGAATGTATATAATACTACTTCGCTTCTGTTTGTGAGTGTCTTACTTTAGTTGCATTATTCAGCCTATCCTTGATTATATAACCCTGATTAGAAGTGTTAGTCTACTAAAAGCAGTGCGGTGGCCTAGGGGTGGAGCTCTTGGCTCACAATCTGGAGACTGTGAGTTCGATCCTAGGTAGAGGCAAATACTCTCTGGGCATGTTGAGAATATATCTGCTGAGTATAACTCTGCATTGATGACAGGAAGGGCATCCGGCCAGTAAACACTCCTCTCTGCTGAGTTGCCCAGACTCCACCCCACAAGGGATTATAGCATCATTAAAAGGAGATAATGATGATTAGTAATTTTAGTCTCAGAAAAAGAATTTATACACATTATTTTTCCTTGGCACAGATGAGTTTCCTATATTTTACTTTGATTGCTTCACTATCTTGTGAATAATGGATTTTGCACTTACTTGATTGGATGTAGAAAAATGTATAAAGTATAGGGGTACAATTTTAACAGTGGAAGCTGTTCGTATAAGATTTATTTCTTTTTTTAAAAACTAGGAATTGGCTAATTCTTGTTCTTTAATTATTTAACTCTTTAATGCATTTTATTTGTTGTATTCTTGAATTGGCAGCAAACATAACTAGAGACGTGGTACAATCAAAGAAATCATTTAAATGTGGATCTCTTACAACATATTCCAACAATGCATCCTTAGACAGAAGAAAAGTATATACAGAAGCAGTCAGGCAATCAAGTATAGGACTTAATGGTAAATATTGCAAAAGTTTTTGAACAGAATAAGAGGGCAGCATAACCTTTTTTTCTAGATAACATCTTCCTGCACTATACAGTAATGTAGTTAGGATTGTAGACTTCTAGGCTGTCTTTGTCAAAGGGCCATTTGATGATGATGATTTATAGCAAGCACCACTGCTCCAGGGACACTTAATTTCTCACAATCTTGCCCTATTTTACTGTGAATTTTCTATTTGCTTAATGAACTGTGGATATATTTGTGTCTTGCCAATTATAGAAGCTATTAGAATAATAGAAGAATCACATCAAATTAACTTTAATTAAGGCCAAAGATAACTAAAATATGTATTATATATAGGTTTTCTCTGACTTCACAGAAATTAAGGTCAATAGTCTGAAACCCCCGAGAATATCAGAATTACAATTTCTTTTATGTCGTATTTAGATGCAAATAGTTCAGCTGTGGTCTAAATTTTAGTCAGCTATTTTATGGAAGGGCAAAGCTCTCCGGAGTCACAGATGTCCTCAAAGTTTCCATGTATCCAGGAAGATGGAATGTGCAGTAGTATTCCAATTGATTCTGTGTTCTTTCTAGTTATATTAGGTCGCATATTTATTCAAATTGCATGAAGCAGCTTATTGGCTTTAAATAATTATTCAGTTATCCCAATGTCGTCGTGTTTATTTAATGCAGCAGGAAGATTATACAAGATACATTATTCATTCTTTTTTTTCCTACTTATTGCTATGTCTTTTTAAAATATACTTGGACCTTGGCCTGGTATTCTAGTGAAGAGAGACTCGAGTTCTTTTTCATCCATATCACGAGGATCTGGTAATTATTGCCATTATTATTAATACTACTGTTTTTGTTAGTGACGGATTTTGTTAGTTATAATAATTCTTCAAATTTAGCATATGAAAACATTAACATATTCAACATCTTTCAAATGATTTAACAGAAGCTTAGAAAGGAAACCTGAGAACATGCTGAATTCCCACATAATGCATATAGGGATTCCTCCTCTTACCACCGTAATCGAGCCTTGGCAACTACAGTCAAAGTCATGAGGGCCATAAAGCAAGTCATCACACAACCAATCTGATTTTACGATCTTTATTTGTGGCATTTGTTAAAGTTCTGCCACAGTTCTTAAGCAACTGGGACAATCATAAAATGAATAGTATGGTCATTAAGCAAACCCATTGTTCACTGTGGCAGCTTTTGTTGAAAACTGGAAGTAAATGCCGGTTTCTGGCAAAAATGTCATAAATCTTGATGTGATTGCAGGATATGGCAAATGGCCAAGCTATTGCAATTGTGGACTCTGGTTGTAAGTAGTTTTTGGTAGGTCTATCATAACTTCAAATACTTGCTAAATGATCAACATAAATCAAAGATTACTTGTAGTTTAATCAAGCCCACTATACAACACAAAGGCTACAGTTTCACATACATTTGACTGGATTATTTCATGGTCTGAATTCTGCTGAGTTTATCACATCTTGAAGACTATAATGAATGCATTAGTTAAATTTGAAGGAAGTCACCAATAAAAATCCTTATAAGAACAATTATTTAGGATAATAAATAATTCATTTATGATTTACAGTAAACATTATCTCAGATATATGTAAGAGTAGGCCAGGGGAAATTAATCTAAAATGTGACACCTAGAGTTTTTGTATTTATTCATTTGACTCAGCCTTCCATCCTTCCGAGGTTGGTAAAATGAGGACCCAGATTGTTGGGGCAATATGCTGACTCTGTAAACTGCTTAGAGAGGGATGTAAAGCACTATGATGCAGTACGTCTAAGTGTTATATATATTGGAGTGGGCCTAATATAAGGCTTACCCCAAAAATAAGCCCTAGTGAAGGGGGTGGGCATGGCCGATATAGGAGGCAGCCCTTTCCTTCCCTGGTCATCTCATGGAGGCTAAGCCCCTTAATCGTGGCCCCACAGTTTAGCTGAGCCAGCAAGGGACAGGAGTTGCCTCTCATTCCATCTCTCTGGAGGTGTTTCTGGCCCATTCTTGCCAGTGCCAGCCCTGCCCACAACTCCAGGCAACCTCACAGCCAAAGGCGCCTCTATTCCACAACTCACCTCATGGCTCTGGAGAGGGCAGCAACCACAATTTGCGCTTCGCCAGGCCTGGAGCTCAGGTCTTGACTAGGCTGGTACTACAAGGCGGAATGCCATGTGGTGCATCGAAATTGGCTGCCCCCAAACCTCTGCCTGGTTGCTGGGCCTGCTGCACCTGCTGGCCTCGCAGGAGATCTTTGCCCTCCTGGGCTGCTCCTGGCTGGCGTGAAGCAACTCGTCTCATATCTGTGACCTCCAGAGCACCTCCCCCACTGTCAGCATGCCAGGACCCCCTTCGCCAGCACTCACACTGCCCTGAGCGAGCTCCATGGCAGCTCTGCAGCAGAACGGAGGGAGGGGGAGATCACCCCTTCCTCCTTTGTACCACAAAATCCCATCTTCCCTGGCCACAAAGTCCCTTGGCCTGTACCCCTCTCACTGGAGCAAGATGCACAACTCAATCTTACCCACGGAGGCCTCCCAGTGCTTTGCTGCAGCTTTGGAGCAAACTTCTGCCTTCCCTGCACAGGATTGCAAGACTGGAGGTTTCAAAGCCACACAGAAGCATTTTGGGATGTGTGAAAGGTTGAAAGGTTGGCAGAAAAATCCCCTCCACCCACAGATCGCTTTCTGAAAGAGACCTCTTTTGGTAACATTGCTGAAAGGTTAACGTTTAACACTGTACTCAGGAAAATCCCGCTCATCGTGGTTTGATTTTGCTTGAGGTGTGGGAGAGGGAGAAAGATTGGAAGTAGGCAGGGTGAGGAAAACTGTTTCAGAAAGTGGTCTGTGGGTGGAGGGGATTTTCCGGCCAATTGTCCTTTCAAAGGAGAACCCTACTGCTTTTGCAGCCTCAATCAGCTGCAGAAACGGCTGTACTTCTTGCAGCTGGTGGAAGGAGTGCATCCACAGATCAGCTGTTTCGTGGACCAAGCTGCTGATAAGACAGTTAGGCAAGGAGATGTGAGGTGTAAGGGGCTCCTGCCCTCTGCCTCCTGGTACCTGGGGGGGGGGGGGGGGAGACCTCCCTGAAATAAGAACTTGTGCATTTTTTGATGATCCCAAAAATATAAAACCTGTTCTTATTTTCAGGAAAACACTGTCGCCATGTTTTCCCCAAAATAAGACCTGGTCTACTTTTTTTTTTTTTGCCTCCAAAAGATGCATTAGGATTTGGGGGGGGGGGGGTGTCTTCCACTCACTCTCCTCACAGTGGCAGAACCAACAGGCCCACCCAAGCAGGAGCCCATGTGGCTTCAGGAAAGGCCTCTGCAGCTGAGAAACGAGCTCTGGATTGACATGCATGGCGCCCCTCCTGGCCTCTGTTTCACTGTCAGAGGCCTTTCTGAAGGCATGACGATGAAACGGAGACCGGGGCAACACAGAAGAAGTGGGCTGGCAAGGTGAGGCAGTTGTTGGGATGTGGGCGGCCTGGCTTCAACTGTTCTAAGGTGAGTACAGGGCATCTGAGGTAGCTCCCTTCTCCCAACCCCATCCTAGCTTGATTTTTGCCTGTGTGCCTCGCCCTACCTCGTGCAACCAGGTGCAATGGAGTGGGTGTGGTCTTAACCAGGGCTTATTTTGAGGGGTGATAAGGCTTATATTGGGTGCACATGTAAAAATCAAACTAGGGGTTATTTTTGGGTAGGTCTTATTTCTGAAGAACTGTGTGTACACACCGTGTTTCCCCGAAAAAATGATCTACTCCTAAAGTAAGTCTTAGCTTGATTTTTGCACATTTGCTCAATATAAGCCCTACCCCTAAAAGGAGCCCTAATTAAAACCCTGCTCATTCCAGGGTCCACAGGTAAAAATTAAAGTAGGGTGGGGATTTGTGCTGGAACTGCCCTACTGCTTACCTTTGGACATTTGTAGCCAGGCCTTGGACACCCCCACACCTGCCTTGTTGGCCCATTTGTTCTGCAACCAGCAAGGCCAGCAAGGCTTTACTGAATGCCTCTGCAGCCAAAAACAGAACTCCGGATCGATCCAGAGCTCTGTTATTGGCTGCAGAGGCCTTCAGGAAAGCCTTGCCGGCCTTCCCGGCTGCAGAAGTAGTAGTTCTTGAATGCCTCTGACAGGAAAAAGGAGGCCAGGAACAACACACACAAGTGAGGTGAGATAGTGGATGACATCCCCCGAAAATAAGCCCTGTTGCCTTTTTTGGTGGCAAAAAATATAAGACAGTGTCTTATTTTGGGGGAAACATGGGTATGTATGTACGTGTGTGTTTCTATAATATGAGACACTTGGTTCATAACACATTTGCACTCATGCACAGACACAGACACACATATATTTTACAGGTAGTCTTCAACTTACAACCACAATTGAGCCCAACGTTTCTGTTGCTAAGTGAGCCATTTGTTAAGTGAGTTTTCCCCCACTTTTTGACCTTTCTTGACACAGTTGTTAGGTGAATCACTGCAATTATTAAGGTAGCCACATGGTTGTTAAATGAATCTGACTTCCCCATTGACTTTGCTTGTCAGAAAGTATTAACATGACCCCAGTACGCTGCAGCCATCATAAATATGAATCAGTTGCCAAGTGTCTGAATTTTGATCATGTAATCATGGGGATGCTGCAATAGTCGTAAGTATGAAAAATGGTCATAAGCCACTTTTCCAGTGCCTTTGTAACTTTTAATGGTCACTAAATGAACTGTTGTAAGTTAAGGACTACATATATATTTAATTATATATCCATTTGGTAATTGTGGAATGTCTTCTTCAGGAATGAGGGATTAGTTCCCTGTATTGTTTTAGACGGGAAGAAAGACTACTATTTTATATATTTTATTGTTCCTCAATTTGAGTGCCACTTCCAAATTTCTCTAAATAAAAATGATTCCATTTTATTTTATAAGCTGCTTTTAGTATATTTTAAAATTGTATTTCCCTGAGCACATGCTAAATGGAAGGGCGTAGTATTTAAAGTTATTTCATAA